AAGCGGCGAGAGAAGGGTGGCGAGAGAGCCCTGCTCGAGGGGGATGAAGCGTCTGGCTCATCCTCGGGGATGCATCGCGCGGTAGGGGATGCCCGGGATCCCGCGTGCGTGCGGATCTGCCAATCGGGCTTCAGGACCGCCCGCGATCACCATGGCAACTCCGGGGGTTGATGGGAGGCGATTACGAGACGTCGGGGGTAACTCGATTAAGCGCGCGACGCCGCTCCCGGAAGCGACGTTCGGGGATGTCGGCACGTAGCGGGCTGGCTTTTCGGGCGGAGGGTGGTAGGCTCGAAACTACGATCTGCCGAAAGGGGGGTTGCTCTCTCTATTTGCCCTCTTAATCACCCGTTAAGTGCTGCGACCCCGATGTGCTTCCCCTGGGCATGCAGCGACCTCGCTCCTCTCCGCTTGCTCGCCAGCCTCTCTATCGACGAATAAGAACGTCGAATAATAACCGGTTTCCAGGGGTGAGGTATGTGTGTACCTAATTTCAGGTTAAAGATGGTAGTGGTTCACGGCTTAGGAGTTGTTCACTTGAAGAAGCCCGCCGTGTTGCCGGGACTTGGATTGCTTCTATATCAAGCGAGTTAATCAGAGTTCGAAATAGAAAATTGCACAAGGCTCTGTGATGTGAATCAAAGTAACGTGAAAAGATCTGCAAGAGCTGAAAGCAGGATCAAGGTGCGTCGGAAGCTTATTAATTAAGAGAGAGTTACTGAAATCGTACTTTATCAATCGTATCTGATTTAATATTTGTAACATGCATAAAATAAGATATCTGAACCTTTTTTTTCATAATTCTCATTGCTCATTTATTCCTCATCTTTAGATCGTTAAATTGCGTTAATATTCAATAATAATAAAGAAATTGATGGGATACGATTTAGGAGACCGGTATGATCTCGGCAAAACTCTCTCCTCTTAGTCAAAGTAAAATAGAAATTAGACTAGGGATAGAAATATATTACATGATATATGACGACAAATGTTTTGGAGTAACCTTCTCAGTGTTTATTACAGGAAAAATCTTTACAAGTGACATGTTTAATAAGACGCGATATTAATATTTTCATTGTGCAACATTGACAACGCTCGCCATGCGATGATTTCAGCCTTAGCAGGTGTACACACTTCTCCGACATTGTAAGACCCTGTCTTGCTGAGCATGTTACTTTTATAGACTTTTGTTGTAATGAATACTGAGAAAAGTCTGAAACAGAGACCGAAACATTTGTAATTATCATATAATATATTTATATATCTAGTCTAAGTTTTATTTTACTTAGACTAATAATTAATTGAGTTTTGGCGCACCTTGATCTTGCATTTGGCTCTTACAGACTGTTTTATGTTAGCGGGAAGCACACACTCTTGCAAAAAGGCATAACGCACACAGCATAAGAGAACCGATCAATCAGAATCCTTATTTATATCGCCATGATGAAAGTAAAGGACTCTGATTGGTCAGTTTTCTTATGCTTTGTGCATTATGCTTTTATGCAAAAGTGTGTGCTCCCCGCTGTATTTATATGAAGATAATTTTCAAGGAATAGATCGGTATTTTTCAGTAATTCATTATCTTTTTACTTCATATGCACTATATATATATTTTAGGAACTGAAATGTACTATTAAAACACTTGCTATGTTTCTAATAAAGTTTACTATTATGTTTTTTTTAGCAAAATAGGCCTTACTGACTATTTCTGCACTGAAAAACAAATATTTGATATTTGTAACTATAATCACACATAGAGGAATAATTATGATAAATTACTGTCAAGAGAAATACCTTTTTAAATTAATTTCTACTATGTTAGTGTAATGACGTTATATGCATATTACTACTACTATTTTTGTGTTAAGCTGGTGGCATATAGAAAAGCTTAAGCAGTAAAACGTAAGCAGTAAGCAAATTGACCAATCATAGTCATTGATTCTCCTTACGGTCCAAGAATCAACGACTGTGATTGATCAATTTGCTTACTGCTTAAGTTTTTCTGTGTGCCACGGCCCTTAGAATAATAAAAAATGCTTGAGGCTAAAACTATAATTTTCGTTAGATCATTTCTTTTCTTTCAGTGTACCTATTTTTGTAGTTGTACTATTTCATCAAATTCTGAGTTTAAGTTATCATTTGCTTCATTATTATCAAAATAGTCTGATGTGTGTTTCATCGCAATGAAATTAGTAAAGTCGAAAAGAATTTATATGAAAAAAGGAACTATAATATTCTCTCCATATAGAGTCCACTTTGAGGACATCATGGGAGGTGATTGGACGTTGGGACGATTTATCCGCATGCTGCGTCGCTCGCGTTTCGTCCTACGCGACTTTCACATCACGAGTCAAAGCGTAAAATTGTTCGGCTCAACAGGCTCGCTCATTCCGGCCCGATCCGGGCTAATCCGGGTCTTGTCAAAACCGCGCGACAGCGAGACACGTCGGCGATATCCAAAATATCCCCGCGCCGAGCCACCCCTTTCTGTCGCGCGTGTGTATCCTCTCGCGTGTCACAATGCTGATTTTCCACGTAGATAGCTCGAAAATAGAGCGCATTCAACCCTTTTCTCACGGCCTGCGCGTATACCGTATCCAACAGTCAATTCGGGGACAATGCGCGATCGAATTCATGCTCCCCTCCTGGCCGACGTTCGTCCCCCTTTTTACCAGCGCCGGGCTGTTCCACGAACGAGCGACACGTACCATTGTAACCGGATACTCCCGTTTAGGGGTGGCTCCTTGATACATCGGGGTTGACCGGGCAGGCTTATAACTAGTTGCCACTTAATTTGGCAAGCCTGCCGAGAGCAGCCCCGACGAGGGGTGCGACTCACCCCGTCGACGAGAGATTGGCCCGTCGAGATCGATTTCGGCGGACTACGTTGGTATTCGCCGGGGACGACCACGCTCGAATTATCTCCCGTTGTACGTCACGCATCCTTCTGCCGCCGTCGGCCTCGCCGGAGAGTTATCTCCCGTTGACGCGCCCTCCGCCGAAACGATCGGTAATCCTTAACCGTGCTCTCTTCTTCCGAATGATGCGTCGACCCAAGGGTTTTACGATCGGGCCTGGTATTGAACTACTACTATCTCGACAAACATTAGTAGTAGATTTTTGGCAATTAACAACTGATCGATATTCTGACCAGGCTCTTTTGTCAACTACACACAGGAGAATTTCATTCTACTGTTGAGAAAGTCGATTAAGGGAAGCCAGGTCAAATTGGTTCAAGAGTCATGTTTGCCGCGCATTTTGTTTATGTATTCATTGAGAGAAACAATGGAAAGCGAATCGTAAAATGTTCCTCTTAGAAAAATAGAAATTAGACTAGGGATAGAAATATATTACATGATATATGACGACAAATGTTTTGGAGTAACTTTCTCAATGTTTATTACAGGAAAAATCTGTACAAGTGACATGTTTAACAAGACGCGATATTAATATTTTTATTGTGCAACATTGACAACGCTCGCCATGCGATGATTTCAGCCTTAGCAGGTGTACACACTTCTCCGACATTGTAAGACCCTGTCTTGCTGAACATGTTACTTTTATAGACTTTTGTTGTAATGAATACTGAGAAAAGTCTGAAACAGAGACCAAAACATTTGTAATTATCATATAATATATTTATATATCTAGTCTAAGTTTTATTTTACTTAGACTAATAATTAATTGAGTTTTGGCGCACCTTGATCTTGCATTTGGCTCTTACAGACTTTTTTATGTCAGCGGGAAGCACACACTCTTGCATAAAGGCATAACGCACACAGCATAAGAGAACAGATCAATCAGAATCTTCATTTATATCGCCATGATGAAAGTAAAGGACTCTGATTGGTCAGTTTTCTTATGCTTTGTGCATTATGCCTTTATGCAAAAGTGTGTGCTCCCCGCTGTATTTATATGAAGATAATTTTCAAGTAATAGATCGGCATTTTTCAGTAATTCATTATCTTCTTACTTCATTTGCATTATGTATATGTTTTAGAAACTGAAATGTGCTATTAAAACACTTGCTATGTTTCTAGTGAAATTTAATATTATGTTTTTTTTTAGCAAAATAGGCCTTACTGACTATAATAAAATATGAGTTAAGTACATGATTAAACGCATAAGTTAAACAATACGACTGTTGAGTTAACTTAACCCGGTCTTCCTACTCAGTTTATTTTCCTTTTTCGAAGTAATGATTATCTCTTCAACGAAGAATATCTTTAATGATACTAATCTTAAAATATATTCATCACGAATTTGAGAAAAGCTCGTCATTATAGTCCATTATAAAGCTCATTGTATAGCTCATGTATTCAAGAGAAGAATTTATTCTCTTTACAAGAATATCATAAAACTTCACTGAAGAAAAAGCTGGTTCGACTCAGTGTACTGGAGTAAACCGAATTTTCGTCTTAATTTAACATTCTTGGTTGAAATTATCCTGCTAGGATTCAGAACGTATTTGAACAAATAACTGATGTGATAACGAATGTTATTTGAATAAATAACTAATGCTTTTTTACGTTGAACTCTTGTGATAGATTTGCGGATGTATAGATTTACGCGATCTTATGAAATACTTGAAGCAAGTAACATTTACTTGTGCAGTACTACGCCAGTATCTGAAACTTGGCAACGAGTAGTGGTTTAGTATCGTCTCGCAAAGCCTTGTCGGGACTGTGTAAAATGTTACAAAGTTCTGTAACTGTTCTGTAAATGGTACAAAATTCTCAATTTTGCCTGATATATTCGCCATCAACGTCACATATGTGTGACAATGATATTACTTTTCTCTCTATGCTCACACAAACAAGTCTGTTTTATAGAATCTTGTCACGAGAAAAATACAATATGGTCTATGAGATGAATTTCCCAAATAAACCGCAGTAGAGAACGTGTGTTGACGGTTTTTCCAGTCGACTATTAATTACCACGCCGAGCCGTGATTAACCTACGGAGAGTTAACTGTGGCGAAATATTGTTTGATGTTTCAGGTGAAAGTATGGTTCCAAAACCGACGAACGAAACACAAGCGCATGCTGCAGGAGGAAGACGCGAAAACCCAACAACAATCCGGCGGCGGAGGCGGCGGCGGCGGTGGCGGCGGCGGCGGCGGTGGCGGTAACGGCAACGGCAACGGCAATGGCAACGGCAACGGCAACCTCAGCAGCAACAATAAAAACACCCACCACGTCAGCAAGTGGCAGCAAGAGACCGGCGACTACCACCATGACGACGAGGAGGAGGAAGAGCACATCGACCCAGAAGCCGAGGAGTGCTCGAGTGGTTCCGAAGCGTAGCTAGACGTCCTCTGCCTGGATTAGGATCCAGGATCGAGCAGAATATCCTATTGATCGTAGGCGGGAGCCATTCGAGGAGTCGCTCAGCGGATCGATGCGAATCCTGGTCGTTCCCGGGAAAGAGAGGAGAGTCTCCTTCGGGTCCCGTCGGGGGATCACGTCCACTAGTCGGGACGAGACTATCGACTGGGCCCGCTAAGATTTGGCACAAGAAGCAATCAGTAGTGAGTAAGAGCCCACGTGAGTGGTCGGATCGAGAATGTCGCGCGATCTCGCTCGAGAATCGCGGTCGAGGCTTCGGGTATGAGGCCCAATGAGGCGAAAGCTGAGAGAGTGATCAATCTCATCGACGTAACCGCTTCTCGCTGGCGCACACGGGAGATCGTTGGAGATTACCTGGGTCTCGTCCGTTTGACTTGACTCGTCGTGTCCCGAGATGCAAACACGGGGTACGTCGTCACGTTGCATTCGTTTCGCCCCGAGGAGATTTCAGGAACGGTTCGTAGGAGAAGTGCACGGCTGAGCAGCCGGCCAGGACATTCGGGACTTGCAGATCGTGATGAATTGACACGTTTAAAGCGTCCACGGCGAGTCTGGATGTCATGGCCGTCGACGACAGAGTGATACGAGTGACGCTGTGCGTCAATGCTGTGTGGCAACGAGAGAATGCCGTGGTCGATGAGAATGCTTCCTGTGCAGTTTGGGACGAGGACAACGCACGTGTAAGACATGTAATGACCAGAACCCTTTCGCTTGTCACGACAACGATGTGGAGATGGAGGGAGACGTCTTAGAGAACGCGACTTCGTGGACGAGGATGAACTCCCGCGCGAGGCTATGACAGGTAGAGGACGAGGAAATGAGGGAGAAAATAGCAAGAGAGAAAGAGAGAGAGAAAAAGAGAGACAGAGAGAGAGAGAGAGAGAGGGAGAGGGAGAGGGAGAGAGGAGGAAAGCAATAACGGCGTGAGAAAGCGAGAGAACAACGACGAACAGCGATGATCGCGAAGCAAGAAGGCAAAAGGCGCGATGAGCAGGAGTTAATAAACGGGAAATTGTGCCGGGCGCAAAAGCAGGCAGCCAAGAGGATCACTCGAGTGCAATCGAAAGCGATGATTCGACTCGCCGCACTTCGTCTAGCGACCGGAGGCTGCCGGGGTCGTGGCTACGAGGAGGAGCAAGGGGGAGAATGCCTGACCCCGCGAGAGTCTGACCCTGAGGAGCCTTTCCATCAGCGAAATCGCTGATCTGCGGGGAGGACTCGGCGAGTCTTGTACCGAACTTGCCAGATTAGTCGATAGGCGATGTTGAGGGAGGCCTGCCTTTTTCTTCCTCTCCTTCTTCTTCTTATTCCTCTCCGTCCCTCGGAGAGGGGATCGCGACGTGGCTGCACGGGCTCTTCGTGACCGTGCCGCGGCCGTGGCCGAAGGCCGGGGAACGATCGCGCGGAGATACGTAAATATCCCCGGGATTAGAGAGGCCCGTTCTGCCCGGCCAGAGACGGGCACCCCGGCGGGCGGGCGCGTGGAAAAAGCGACCGGAGGAATCGAAGGCGTTCATCGGAAGCCGGCTAATGGAGGCATTGTCTGCGGGAGAAACGACGGGGCTAAATGGACGCGCATCCGGCGGAAACGGCGGCGCTCGCCGCCATCGGGCCACGATCGATGCGGACTTCGGCCGGACTCGATTATTTCGCGGCGACTCTCGCGATCCTGTGCTTCCTGTGCATTGGTTGGCGGCGGATTCCCCGAGGCCGACGAGTGATGCTCGCGCGGGACTCTCGTCGATATACACGGAAACGTGTTCTCCTGACCGAAGGGCGGCCCGGGGAGAGGAGGAGGTTAACGCGAAGCGACGATCGATCGAGCGTCGCCGGCCGCCGCCGATTGCGCGCCGCGCGCTCACGCTCATCTTGCCATAAAAGAACCGCCATAAAAGACTAACTCCGCGTCGCCCAGGATCATGTAAATAGAGCGTAGGTGAAAGGAGCGGGAGCAGGGGAGAGGCTACAGAGACCGCGATCGCCGATCACTTCCGGTAACGGAAGTCCCGGCGTTGTTCCTCTCGTGAGACTGTAGACGTGTGCCGAGAGGGGAGTGTAAATAGACAGAGCCAGGACGAGATGCGCGTAAACAGAACGAGAAAAAAAAAGAAACAGAGAACGAAACAGAACGAGCGAGTTGAAAGAGAGTGCCAAACTTCGTACCCCTTCCTCCCCCCACCTCCCCTCTCCCCGGCCCCTTTTAGAGAAAGATCCCAGTGTAAACTCGAGTTGTACTTTGCAGTTGTATTTAAGTCGTTGTTCTACACGAGCGAGCAGTATTCCTTTCGCGTATCCGGTGTCCGAGATCGATGTCCGAGATAAAGAAAGTAAAAGAAAAAAAGAAGTACTGACGATTTAAATTATTATTGCTAAACATTAGACACACACACACACGCGTACAAGCATACACACATACACACACACGCTGGATCTCCTGCGCCGCGGTAAAGGCAAAGTCGCAAAGTGCACGGAATCACCGATCGCTTGCTGTTCATAATATTAACATGTCGACGTGTTTGTTTATCTCGACATCTTAATATTACGCAGCGAACGTGATGGTCTCGCAGCTCGGCGATCTCGCGGGACAATTTCGGCTCGCTGGGCGCGCAATGAGCGCGTCTTCGTAAGAGTTTTGCGTGAAAGCGTCGTTCTTACTTATTGTATCGGCCGTTCTTACACGCCGAGCGAAACTTGCGCGCTGGACCGCACGCGCGGCGCAGGACTTCCGCCATGTAAATAATACTGTAAATAGGAAAATGTGATTTTACTCGACGTACACAGAAGCATCGAATTGTATTATCAAATGACTCGGTTCGTGTTCTAACGATATAGTGAAATAAATTATATGATCACACTACGACTGTGTCGTTTCACTTATGCCTCGCGCGTATTCGTCCCACTGTCGCACCGAAGAAAAGGATTCTCTTGTCGAAACGAAAATTTGGTGCACCGAACTGAAATTTGGTTAAAATGGAATCAACAAGAGTGAAATCGAAATAAATTAAAATGGTCCTTAGATGTTAAAATAAAATGAGAAAATAGCGTGTAAAAGCCTAGGCACATGTGTAAAAGTGCAAACAAATTTTTTAATAATTTAAAAATATTTTACAAATTATACGTTTCGACCTGTTTTAGGTCCTCTTCAGTAATCTCGTTTTTACAAATAGAACATTCGCAGTCAGTTAAACATTTTGGTGGTTAATAAATAATTCGAATCAACAAGATATCTGATAATTGCAACAGAAGAATTCAATTGCCGCTTGTGTGTTTCGGTTTCACAAGTAAAAATTATGGTAACCAAGAGTCGTATATATTTTAGTTCCAAATACAAAAATAATTTTTTCAGTATAACCTCGACAAATCCATGGTCAGTGTCTCTTTCCAGTGTAATGAGAGATGAAACATTTAAGAAACAAAAAAATATTTACTCGACGGATACTAATAATATATTTGTTTAAATCCAAATTCTCTCTTATTGAAATAAAATTAACAAATGCTTTCACGAAGAGAACTACTGAAAAAAGTTTTGTAATAATTAACAAATGCATTTAGTTGAACGTTTCACTTGGTAAGTAGTAGCAACATTTGATAATTAGTAATCAGATATGGTAATAGTTACCAACCATCTTGTAATAAAATTACAAAATAATTAGTAAAACAAACTCTTTATTTGGATAAATTAATTAAATGATTTGATAAGTAAAATACCAAATAATTTAATAATAATTGCTAAATAGTGTGGCTATTATCAAAATATTTCGTCTCATTTTCGATGTTTTTAAATTTCTTGGAGTGCAACGAGTGAAGATTCATTTGAAGCGATAATAAAAGTTCCGCCTCGTGAAATCACGAAGGAATATTTAACTAAAATTTAAAGTAGATTTTTAATTTGTACGAGTAAATTGATTAAAAAACAAATCTTACATTTAACTTTTTTTATATATCAAATTATACTCGTGCTAAATTTTAGTAGGGAGATAATAATTGACAATATAAATGCTGAAATTGATCTAATGGCAAATCTACTTTTTATGTCAATTTTATTCTTATGTTATGTTTCCTTATTCCCTCCTAAATCCTTCTAAATGTCTCTAAATGAACGATATTTATGCATTAGTGGTTCCTTGTAGTTACGAATAATATCGCGATTATATTAATTTCAGTTGATTAGATTATTCTGTCGGATCATTTCTGTCGATTAGATTTATGAAGTTATATCATCTTATAGCTTCCCATAAGAAATATATTATGCGCTCTAGAGAGAAACAATTTTATGTGCTAACTTCGGTTTGTATACATAAAAAGATGCACTCTAATTTTGAATTAAAATTCTTATTTGACAATTCAAAGTGGAGAAAAATTCTCACTCTATACGAATAAACTCTATTTGAGTGACTTGGTCACACTATTATTCGAATGAAGTTATTACTCGAAGAAACTTAAAAAAAATGTGAACGCGTCTTTTCTCGTTCAGATCTATCCTTTAATTTTGAATGAAAAAAAATATTCACTCGATAATTCAAAATGGAGAATTCGCTGTGCGAATGAATCAGGATTTGAATTAAAAAACGACTGCCACTATTATTCAAATAGAACTATTGCTCAAAGAAATTTGGAAAAATCTGAGCGTACTTTTTTTCATTCAGAATTGTTCTTTAATCATGAATGAAAATTTTCACTCGACGATTCAGAGAAGAATTCACTCTATAATGAACTCTATTCGAGTAAGTCAATTGTCATTCTATTATTGTTTGAGTGGAATTATTATTCAAAGAAATTTAGAGAAATATGAGCGCGTTCTTCTTCGTTTAAATTAACTATCCAATTTTGAGCGAAAATATTTACTCGACGATTCGGAGGATTCACTCTGTATGAATGAACTCTCTATTCGAGTAACTCAATTGTTACTCTCCTATCGTTTGAATGGAGTTATCGCTCGGAGGAATTTAAAAAGATACATCTTTCCCCGAAACATGAAAAAACGGAGGAGAAGAACTCAAAAATGGCGCGCAGGCGTGCGTTCGCGAACGTATTGCGCACGTAACGGTGCTCCTAATGATCCCGAACATCCAGATGGTAAATTCGATAGCGCGAACGCAGTCTCGGCCACGTAATTTCGCACTGCCGCGTCCCGAAACTGTTTGTTTTCCGCGTGTGGGTAATTTCGCGACGCAGCGTATCATTTCAGGAGGCGCAACGCGGCGTACGTACATACGTGAAAAATTGAATAATTCCCGCCGTCAGGCACGCCAATGAGGACCGGTAATTCGCCGGCCGCGACATTATCGCAATGACCGGCCGTTACGTCGCGCGCAGAGGGGTGTCTTCGCGCGTAAGGCAAATTGTTTTCGCGAAAGTATCCTTCTTCCCGGTCGGTACTCATCGTCCCGACGCAGAAAATCGCCTGCCCGCCGTCGCGGGAGCGATCCTTGTCGATAATCGCTTTATAATCGCCGCTTCCAAAAGGAATAATTTACCACGTCGCAGACATGGAACTCTCTCCTTCCCTCTCTCCCTCTTTTCAGCCCCCCTGCCCCGTAATTAAACACGCCAGATCTCTCCCTGCGTGCCGGAACAACGGATGTGCGGACGCAGACTGATGTTGGTAGATCGTAGTCGGAGATTCGCCGTCATCGGCCGTCATTATTTTCGTCAGAGCTGGATACACACCGCCATCTTCAGGGAAGCTTCAGGACGACGGAGATGGAGCCGCCGTCGCTCTTCCACGGGGCTTTCGTTTCTGTGATCTTTTCTCCTTCTTCTTGTTTTCCTTCAAAACCTAGAATGGATCTTCCTTTGATAAAAAGTATCGTGTCGCATGTTAATGGTCTGCGAGTTCAATCAAGGACGATTAAGGAGCCATGGAATTTCGCAAATTGTAACTCTTGAAAGCCATCCAGATTCAGGATGGTGGGAATGGAATCGTCGTCCCTCTTCCTCGGAGTTTTCGCGATTCCTTCTCTTTCAAAATTTAGAAATGGTTTTTTTTCTTTAAAAGTAATATTTTATGAGTATTATTTTATTTCTATAGTCTGATAGATGAACCAAAGATAGTCCAGGAGTCACAGGATTATGCGATTTGTAATTCTAGAAACAATTCTTAAGATTCAGGACGACGGAGATGGAGTTATCGTCGTTCTTCCTCGAAGCTTACATGGTTTTTTTCTTTTGAAAGCTAGACTTAATTTTGCCTTGATAAGAATAATGTGCTGCGCGTTTACAGATTGAGAGTCGAATTTAAGGACAATTAAGGAGAATTTCGCAACTTGTAACTTCCGAAATAGCTTTCAAGGTTTGACAGCGATGGAATCATCGCCGTCCTTTCTGCGAACTTTCGTGATTTCTTTTCTTTTCCTTTTAAAAACTAAATTTGATTCCTGTACAATAGAAATAATGTGCTAAACATCCTGTGAGGTAAGCCAAGAATAGTCAAGGAGCCACGGAATTTCGTAATTTGTAACCCTTAAAACAAATCTCAAAGTTCAGAACAGCGAGGATAAAGTCGTCGCTTTTTTTCGAGGCTTCCGCGATTTTTTTTATTTCTTTTACATCTAGATCTGATTCTTTCTCAATAAAAATAATGTGCTACCCGTACATAGTCTGGGAGTTTAATCAAAGAAAATCAAAGGCTCACGGAATTTCGCTACATGCACACACACACACACATACAACTCTCGAAATAGCTCTGAACTCAAAGTTTAGAATGACGGCGATGGAACCATCGTCGCTCTTTCTGGGGGCTTTCGCGATTTTCTTTTTTTTCTTTCAAAAGCTGGATTTTCCACACGACAAGAACAACATACTATTTATCCATAATCTGGAAGATGAATTAAGAATAGTAAAAAAGTCACGAAATTTCATAATTTATAATTCTCAAAACAATTTTCAAAGTTCATAATAGCGAGTATGAAGTTGTCGCTCTTTCTCTCTCTTAGATGATTTTCCCTTACTTCTTTCATATCTACATTTGCTTTTTTTCAATAAAAATAACACGCTATTCGTTCATGGTAGTTGAATCAAGGAGAGGTAATCAAGGATAAATATTATAACTCTCGAAACAATCCTTAAGGTTCAAGACAGCGGGAATGAAAACTCTTTCTCAATGTTTACACGATTCTTTTGTGTTTCTTTCTTTCTTCAAAAATCTAGACTTGAAAGAATCTAGACTTTTGCTGGAAAGAATAACACACTGCGCGTCCATAGCCTGGGAATTGGATCAAAGATAATCAAGGAGCCACGGAATTCTGCGACTTGTAACTCTCAAAGCGACCCTTAAGTTTCAGGGCGACGGAATTGCCTTCGCTCTTTCTCTTCCGCTTTCACTTCTGCAAATGTTTTTTCTTTCGAAATCCAAAATAGATCTCCTCTCGACAAGAGTATGGTGTCACACGTCGATAGCATGGACCTACTAATTCTCTACGGAATTTCGCGACTTGTATGTAACTCTCGAAACGTCCCTGCCGTCTCGTTCGGATTAATTCGTAACTCGACTAGATCGTGCGCGAGATCTGTAATTTCGCCGATGGAAATTAATAGCGCGCTAGTGGCGCGACTCGCAGCGACGATTATCGACGCATTAATCAGTTCATGCTAATGAAATCGTAAATTGAAACTATCTGCGATCACACACACACACACACACACACGCCCAATGCCACGTCCCGCCATTGAAACAAAACATTCAACGAATTTCGCATCGGATCTCTTTTCTTTTCTTCCCCCTCCGAGTTTCTTCATTCGACAACCCGCCCTCCGCGTGTTCCCACGGTTGTTAATCATTAATTGTCTCATTGCGTATTCGACGCGGGCTCATTCGTTGGACCGGGAAGAAACGGCGATCGCCAAGATTGCCGGACCCAT